TTGCTTTTTATGTGCTGTAAGAAAATTGAAAACTAAGTGTCCATTTTGCTGTTTAATAAGAATCTTATAGAACAAGTAATAGTCCTTTTGCTCCTTCCATCTAGTGGGAGCAAGAATAAGAAGCTCCCAATATCCACTGAGAATCCCTTCTTGTGCACTGTGGGGTTAACAGAAGTTGAAGAGACAGCCAAAGGCTCAGTAGGTGCAGAAATAGAAATGGAAATGCAAGGAAGATGAAAGATTAAGTGAAGAGACTGTGAAAGAGGGTGAAGCATAAGGAAGATCACACAGGGCAGAGGAAGCCCTATTAAAACTTCAGAAACATTTCTGGATAAAAGAGTGGAGTGTTTGGCTGGCTTCTTTCTGCTGTCCTGTGCGAGCTTGAGTCCAGAACTGTTGCAGCTGTAATGGCATTGAGCCAGGGGCAGCGGGGTGGGGGAGGTTCAGGAGACAACAAATATCAACGTGGTTACACCTAGCATAAGGTGTAACCAGTAGTAACCTAGTATACTTACACAAGGCCTGCTTTTTCATCAGTAAAATTTATCAGAAAAAACATCTCGCCTTGGATGCAAGTGTTCCATGCACAGTAGAAGTGCTGGTAGCTGGTGATCCATATAGAAGTCAGTTAGTCGTAGTAAGCTAATTATTGCTGTCACAGAGTTTTTGTGCATAGCATACGGCAAATTGCCTGGTAGGAAGACATTTTTAGGCTTCCTAACTCTATGGGTGTTGGGAGCTGCTGCTGGCAGCTCCTGGCTCTGGCTGTGTTCTGCCGTGACTCTGCCTGCACTGCATCAGGGGAGCGCCCATAGCAGCGGAGCAGCTCGCAGCTGCTGGTGCCTTCTGATGAGAGGCAGCATCCTGGTGTTTGCAGATCTGCTCTGCTGGGCCCCTTGCCGCGGGCGGGAACCAGTGCCTCGCGCACAGGCATGAGGCATCACATCACCTGCCTGGACATAACTTACCTCGGAGTCTGCAGTGATTTGGCAGGAGCAGCGCGCTGCATGGTTTGGCAGAGATTTCCAGAATGGGCCCAAGGCAAAGGCGACTTTGGAGAGGGGAAGCTCTGCGTGGGGAAATGGTGGTGGGAAGGAATTGTTACTTGTCCCAGGCTGCTGCTCTGACCGCCCTCAATCCATATCCAAGTGCCCCAAGAGGGGGGTGAACTGAAGAAGGATCTCCTTACACAAACCTTTCCCAAAGGATGCTGGCAGGAAAAGTAGCTCTGGATTAGATCCATTTGCTCTTAACATAGTCAGTACCTAGTAAGAGCCAAACTCCTGCCTGTCTTAATAATTTAAGCTTTGCAGAACAGAAGCTGGGTGAAATTTTGACCTTATGTATTACTGCTGTGTAAGTAATCCTCAGAAATGCTCTCAGTATTGTTAACTGTTTGTAGTTACCGCAGCATATAGGAATAATTATGATGTACTTTTGCAATAAAAATAAAGCATAAAGTGTGTTCTGGATTGTAACTTTTGTATTAAAACATGATTTAAAAGCTTAGGAGAAGTTGGCGTTAATGAGAAGAGTTGATTTAGACAGTCTTGTATAATTCAAATACAGTTGATAAATATCTCTTATGTGTTGTATGTTAGTCTCGGTTTTAAAAGGTAAAAGTAATTTGTATAATGTGATGATAAATATGCCAGAAACAATAGCTAGAGACATATGTATCAAAATAGAAAAGGCAAGTGGCGTGTTACTAGCCAGGGCTAGTTTAAAAAAATAAAAACAAAAAAACCCGGTCCATATTCAGAATTGACATGTAGGGGAATGTGAGTCTTGGGCCAATATAAATTTTATGAAAGATATGAATGTGCATAACTATTGTTTGTGAACAATTTGTACCTAATTCAACTTTCATCCAACATAACTTTCACTGCTGTTTGCACTGTCAGTGAATTGGCTTATGCTCTGCTTTTTAAAAAGATTGATTAACTTCTCCCTTTTGACTTTTGAGATGTTCACATTCACAGTGCGTTTTAATTCTGTACCAGCATTTACTACATTTTGGACCCTTAATGGAAAACATCACAGAATCATAGAATGGTTTGGGTTGGAAGAGACCTCAAAGATCATCTAGTTCCAACC